TACTCGGGTGAAAACTACTACAACATTTCTAGTCATCCTCTTCTAGCTCTGATGTCTTGTTCAACGTCGTCTTGTCATGACAGTTCAAAGATTAAACAGTTCGTCAATGTTCGTCAAATAACCAATTTTACATTAAACCTTCTTTTTTTTGATTTTACAATTATTTAATTCTAACTGAATGTGTGTTGTCATAAAAAATCTATTCATATTTACAAAAAAATGTATGCCGCCACTAATTGCCGTAATTGTTCAGTAATCAAAGAAAGAGGTTCAGAACCTCATGGTAATGAAATGCTTTAGGTGAAGTGGAATGAAACGATCATCTCAACAAAAGTAATGATTTGTTAAGCGAATTATTATTAACAGCAGTGAGAACTAATAATTTCCTCACTAAATGATTTGAATGTTGAATTATTCAACGCATCAAACTTCAAGATTTTTTGGTGTGCAATCCCTTCAATTTTCTAGATTCTTGGCTATTTGCAAGCTTGAAATAAAAGAAGCGAGTGCAATTTTCATAAGTTCGAGAAAAATTAATCTCTCCTCCGCCATTTATAATCACTCCTTAAAACTATCGAGAAATGCGTCTGGACTTAGGTTCTTATTTACGTTAGAGAGTTTGATTCATACATCATTATTCTCGTAAAAAACAAAATTAAACAGAAATGAAACTGACATCCTTTTTTATTTGAAGTCTTCATTTAATCTTTACCCGGTATTAAAATTACCAGCGGGGAATCGAATATACTTCTTAAGAAAAGAAAAGGCAATTGCATAAATTAATTTAAAGGAAGTCTATAATATTAGATTCCGCAAGTCGGGTTGGGATGAGAAATATGGAGGGGGGAGAGGTCTCTTTGCTCCTTCACCTGGGCTTCCGCCAGCCCACAGTGTCAAAATACTGCGTGAAACCCCGCTCACGTACTGGTCTTCCTGAAAATGGCATGGCTTATGTGTGGGCAAAGCGAGACGCGCAGGCATGTGGTGATTTAGTTGAAAGAGACATCTCTAGATAGCAGGTCAAGAAACGAGCTCCTCCCACCAGGCTTTAAGGCTTTATTGAAAGGTTTCCTCCTACGTCTACAGGATAGTTTTAAGATGCGTGAGATTTAACCAAGAGAAGAGGAAACGCTATAAGTTCATCAAGGCGATTTCCATCGTTTTCGCGACGGCTAAAATGCGCCTGTGATTTAAAACACGATCAAAGCCAGTTGCCTTATAGTTATAAACATGCAAAACTCAAATTTTACATTTTTCCTCAAACTTCAAAGCCAATATTTTATTTTGTAATTACATTTAAAACTTAAGTATCTAAGAATGACTTCTTTCCCTTTTTTCCTTTCTCTGAGAAGCCGCCTCTGGAAACTGATTATAATAGTATGTTTGTAAAAGTGGGAAAAACATTTTCACCACATGGACACTCGCTTGTAACCTTGATCCCGCACCCCCTGCGTAGAAACAACGTGTCGACAAAGGACGTGGCGCGGCACTTGCTGGAGCTGAGGGTGAACTCGTCTATGGCCAACCCCTGGACCGTGCCCCCGTGCAACGCCAGCGCGCGGTACCGCAACCTGGACGGCTCCTGCAACAACCTGGGCAACCCGGAGTGGGGCCAGCAAGGCCGGCCCTTCGTGCGGCTGCTGTGCCCGCGATACGCCGACGGTAAGTAGGCAACGCAACCTGCCTAAGTAAGTAGCACGTCAACCTGCGCAACACCTCGTTCTTTTCTGTATTTACTAGGCTGTCCGGGTGACGCCGCGTCCATGGCGAAGGTGCCGACGTTTCAGTCGCCATTCTGCGACCTTCCCTGCATTACGCCCTGAGGAAGGTCGCAGAATGGCGACCGAAACGTCGGCACCTTCGCCATGGACGCGGCGTCACTCGAACAGCCTAGTAAATACTGTTTCCGGCCGCGGAAGCCTACGCTCTCACTCGTTCTTTTCTGCCGGTACAAGTATCTCGGAGCATCAACCGAGGTCACGGCAGTGCCTCTAATCGGAAGGGCCTAGGTTTTGAGTCCCGACCGGCAGTGGCAGGATTTTCGACACCAGCTACATAGCTAATTCTAAGACTCTGAAAATTCTGGCGACCGGCTGCCCTGATCTGTAGTTTTCCGTGGTTTCTCCGATCAATACCAGACGAATTCCGGAGCAGTACCGTACCTAATGAGCCACGGACCGCACGCGATCTTTCCTTCGTTTTCCTTCACCCCGCTGGTGTTAAATATCTAAAATCATAAAAATTTGTTTACGTTACCCATAAAGGTACCACAACCATTCGAAAAATTAAACACTCAAACTAAGAATAAGTTAACCATTTTAAATAATTTAACTCCAGGTATTTGCACACTCTATGAGCTGTTTTAATTTATGATTGTTGCATGTAAAACAGTTTCCGCCTGAAGACGTGACCAATTAGGCCCGATACGCCATATGTTGCAATGCGAAAAGTTAATAAATGTTCTTTTCTTGTAAAACTGCCGTTTTTGATTGTTAAAATATAAAGGATACAACTCATCAAGATTATAACAGACCATCATTGCTATTTGTTATATTCTCCCTGATATTTTGGAGCTTTTGTACAAGAGCGCGTAGAAATCTTGCTTGAGAGCATGTCTTCCCTCTTGAGCCCCTCTCCTCGGATTCTTAAATGTAGTCAGCACTCTCTGCTTCTTGGAACAGCAGACAGTCAACTGATGCTACATAATTTGCGCTCCGTGCGTATGTTGCAATCTTTCTCGCAAAAGCATCAACTGTCAACGTTACGAAGGTGTGATGACATCGGACGACGGCGGAAGGTATGTCGGCCAGTACGAGACAATGAGTACGGAATATTATAAGATGTCAAGCCAAAGTGTGTCCAAAAATGTGCTGAGAGTCAGGATTAAGAAAATTGTATTTGAAGTTTCCAATGTGCGTCACAAATCGGAAGTTAAATGAGACCTCATTTCATCGCAATTTTTCTTTTTTTGTAATTTTTAGTAAACTATTTACTCTGTTCTATTTTAGTATGTCTAAAAATGAAATATCATTGTTGCCCTTAATGGGGTGACATATGAAAACTTGAAATACGAAACCCATCTGACATTATTTTACAAATTCATTATGCACTCTGAATTTATTCAGTTGCATCCTTCAGAGATTGTGTTTTCCTGATTCCAGAAGAATGTACAATAAAAAACCTCAAAACTAACATTCATGTGTACATATTTTAAACATATCTCAAGAAACTGTACAAATATGTGCATTTCATCGACCTCATTACTACGGAGGAAAAATAATTTAACTTCAGTGATAGCTAATAATTTTGCGATACATTTTAATAAAAATGATTTCGCCTGAAGGTCATTAATATATGATGCCAACCCACATTGACTAGATAGGCAAGTATTACTAAATTTTAACAACGGCGGAATAGAATTATCGTAAGTCGACGAAGGAACATTCCCAGGATGACAATATCGATAAACGAAGTTCCAGAGATTCTAGAACATTCATCTAATACGATTTGTATAATTGAAGGATTGTTTGAAAGCATGGATCTAACAGGGACGATAATACGGAAAGTATAACAGGGTGACAAAACAGGTTCTAATGATATAAAAAGGAAAGACATTACGTCTTCACGGATTTTTTCTATTGTGACACAAGATAATGCTTATTTTCAAAGGAAAATAGTTACTGCATTCAATAGATGTAGTGAGGAAACAACACAAAGAACACGAGCGCCAGGTAGTTGAATTGAAACCGACCGTAACATGAAGGTTAGGGACCTCACACTAGTGCATTACCTCCAATTCCCGTTGATCATTGTAACTGTCGCTTTCATTCACAATTCCCTTGCCATTGACCATTTGTCACTGAATGCGTATTACAGGCGTGTCAAGTAACTGCTTCAATCGTTCAGCAGTAATATTTGAATCGGTTCAGATTATTCACAGGAAACAAAGTTTCGTGACAAACGCCCTCTGTCTGTTTCTTTAATAGAAGTGTTATTTGTAAGGGCATTAGCTTCCTGTATTAAGTCGGATGAATGGCGAATGATTTACATTTCAATGATCAATGTCAATGTACAGGTTGGTTATTCCGGGTCTTTTGACCAGTTCACATAAGCCAATTCCAAACGTAAATATAAAGGTCAAAGGAGACGTAATAAGGAAGTTGGTTTACAAGGGTTTCCTCAATATAGTATAGCATTAAAAGAAACTGTACAGAAAGTGCAAGTGAAGGCAATTCTCTATCTGAATCATTAATGCTTAATCATTAACGATCAATTCTCTCTTAAAAGATCGAGAACTTTAAAGTTATAAAACATCCTATTCAAAAGAAATGCAAGGAAAAAAACGCCGCTTTAGTTCACATTCCGACTCACAAAATTAATAGTAGAAATATAATAGAAGCACGCAAGAACTGCGAACTGAAAGTTTTTTTACTCACACATTCCTCCAGATTTAAATCCAAAGAATTAGGTTAAAATCAACATAAAAATGTGTATTCCAAAGACATTAATTTTCAAATTTCTAAATGTGATATGGAACCCGAAGGTTATGTTTTTTACATACTGTAAGTTCACTTCTTGGTTAATTATGGAGTCAACATTCGACATGCTAAAATTTAACTTTTACCCATTTATGACCATTGCCCAAAAGTGGCAGTGCGCACTTTATGTCATGATCGTCGATCACTCCTCCAGTGTCTCCAGTCTACCCTTTCAGCCCAGCGGTCTCCGGTTCGCTAAGGCCACCCACAACTCCAACCGCCGCGCAATACAATCACTTCTCGTATACAGAATGGGGCAATGAGATGCCCTCGAAACAGAATCGCACTTCCTCGCACTCACTGTGTCGACTACAAAATCCACAAGGATGGACATCAGAACCCGTACAGAAGGAGCTAGTGCCCTGGTCAACGCCGTTCGGGTTTCCGCATTCACGGAGAGGAAGCTCCCGGCTGCTTCCAGGGGCGCATTGATATATAAGAGTAAATATAGTACTATTAGAAGGGGCCACGTCGAGGGCTACTGCTGGGCCATTGCTAGCAATAAAACTGAAGGTTATGTCCCAGCACTCCTTTCATCAGTGCGTTCGTTTACAGTTAGCTCATTTGTAAATGGATTCATCACTATCTTTCGCTTCCTCATCGCCCTGCACGACGTTCATTTGTTTCTCGACCTGCCAATCTAGTCTCTTCATAGAGCAACTCCTCTATACTTTTCTGGGCCCAATGCATGACCAAAATGCGGGGTCCCTAATGATAGTGAAATACTTAAATTATCAAAATCAATATGAAAACAAAATATATTATACTTTCGCCATGTAAAAAATTAATATAAATATAATTTAAAATAATTTTCGTCTATATTAATATACCACTGTATTTTTCAAAAATCGTTTCTACGTTTTAAAACGTGACTTAGATGTCTTGATTTTGTAAAAAATTAATAAAATAATTAAACATTTTTATACGTGAGGGGATACGTGGAGTAACGTATTTATAACTCATACCACGCATTCAAGTCGTATAATTTAATTCAGATCTTATAATTCCCCAAATCAGATAATATGATCCAAACACTGGAACAAACTTGTTCTTTGAGATACGTACAAGTCAATAAAGCAGAACAAATGAATATTCAAACTACGAAATATCTGGATAGACAAAATCTTTTTGTCATCCCCACGGGTAGTTCATTGGCCAGCATGCTCGCTTTCCATGACGCGATCCCGGTTTCGATTCCAGGTCGGGGTAGATTACAATGTGCCGTTTCCTTGCAATGTCTGTATCGGAATGCTGTGTGAATATGAGAAAGCTCACTTATTCAGGTTGAGAAGATCAGAATACGGCGTACCCCTTATCCCAAGGTCGCTAGGTAGGAACGCGGCTGGTCCGCCTTGACCCCATCAGGAGCTGTGGTGTCAGTACAGAGAGACTATGTTGATCCCAACCCTTCATATTATGAACGAATATAACGCGTTGTTATACACGTTGGGCGCCCCTGAGCGCGTGGCTGACGGCGTGTGTGTGTCAGGGGTGTACGAGCCGCCGCGCGCCCTGGACGGAGGCCCGCTGCCCAGCGCGCGCCTGCTGCGCCGCCTGCTGCTGCCCAACGCGCCCTTCAAGTACGGCGACGCGCACGTGTACACGCTGCTCACCATGCAGTGGGGGCAGCTGCTGGCCCACGACACCGCGCTCACCAGGGACTTCATGGGCGCCAGTGAGTCAACCGCCCTCCGCCCTAAGCCCTAAGCCCTAAGCCCTAAGCCCTAAGCCCTAAGCCCTACGCCCTATGCCCTACGCCCTACGCCCTCCACGCGCTGCCTGCTGTCCCACTCGATTGCGGAACAATATCCTCATTATCTTCCTCCTTCTCGGCCTCTTTTTCTCTCTTCCCATTCCTCCTCCGTTCTTCTCCTTCCTTCTAGAATTTATCATTTCCTTCCTTATCCCATTCGTCTTCTTCTCGCAGACGTATTCTCTTCATTTTCCTCTTTCCTTTCTTCATATTTCTCTTCTTCCACCGTTACTCTCTTTCTGCCTTCTTTCTTTCCTTCCGGTCTTTTTTATTTCCATCCTCTTCATTTTCCTCTAACACAGGAAATTTTCCTCATTCCTTTCTTCTTAATTGTACATTTTTTGTCCTCCTATTTGTCATCTCGAAACTTCACCACCTCTTCTAGCAATATGTAGAATACAATAATATTTTATGTTGAAGTAACTCTTTCTTCAATTGTACTAAGTTAAATTTAAGATTAAGAATTAAGATTAAGAACAACAGTTAGGTGTTTTAGACTCCCTATATACTTGTTTTTAAAACGTTTGAAAATGAAATATTCAGGAGAGAGTCCTCCCTCCTCAAACTCTTATTCTATATTAGCACGTAAAATTGAAGATATTCTTTGAATTGGCATCACTCACTTAATCTCGAGTTCACAATAAAGGTGCCTTTTCTTAATAATGAAACGCAATGACATCTCCAAGATTCTAAGTATATGGCGAGTACAACTGCTGCTCTTCGCAGACGGATTCAGCGCGCAGTGCTGCGCGATCAACAACTCCACGCCGTCGCACCGTTCGCCGCTGCCGGCCAATGAGACGGCGTCCACGTGCCTGCCGGCCAACGGCCCGGGGCCCTACTGCCTCAGCATCGTCCGGGGCAACGCCTCTTTCGTCACCTCCGACGGGTGCGTAAGAAGCCAGCAATTAATTGCCAACTCTGGCAATTAACTCTAGATGATGGACCCCCAAAGCGTCCTTTTATCTTGGGTAGTATATCTGAAAATGCTCTTTTAAAGAGCTTTTAAGAAAGATATAAAATTCTGGGGGGGGGAAAGTACCCTCACTATTGAGAGTTTTAGACCCAATTTTTCAAAAAGTAATCACTCATTTCTTAGGATTTAAACTATTTTTATTTATAAAATATACAATAATAATTACTAATTGCTTTTATTATTACTAATTATTTTTCTCTCTTGCTACTAATTCTATTTTCGTCATTGTGTGAGGAATTTCTCAAAGTATGTAGATTCCTTTGTAGGGCACATGACTCGTTCCATTTCTTGCAACCTACTCTTGACTGGCTTGTGCAACCCTGCATCCGACACCACGCGGGTGCCTTCAGCTTGTCCACCACCTGCCAATGACTGTACCCTTAATCGCGTTTGTCGATTGTGGGTTGGATTGCAGGACTCCTTTTCATTCTGTGAGGGTGGCTCACCTTCCTGATCAACATTAATGGAGCTTCTCTTCCTTTTGAGTCCTACCATCAGGTACTCTGCAAATATTATGAAGAAGTTAAGGAGGTGCATTACCTATATTTTTTCTTTATATTCATCTCCTGGCAATCACGGTGATACCCTTGTCATGCATTTACCACTCCATAATAAAGGTAGTGAAGGATTACCTTTAATCTCCACTTTCGTGCTTTGTACCACGTTCGATATAATACAATGAACTGATCAAAGGTATCCACTCCACCCATATTTTCATAGATTAATATAACAACGACAGGGCAAGTACCTTCAATATATTGATTGTCTTTTTATATCAACGTTTAACCTGTGAATGTGGTTCTGCTCCACCACACGCTGAATTCATCAACACGAATGAATTGTCTTTCAATTTCACAATGGTCATTTTATCATCTCCACAACGTACTGCGTTCTACTTACTCTTCATTGTATTCTCTTTTTAAAATTTAAATTTAAGACATCAAAAATTTCGTCTTCGTCATAGGCAATATTACGTCTCGCCATTGTGAACTTAATACGCCAATCCTAGCCCACAAATAGAGGATGATTTTGGTCCCAACATTCACAATTTTGATAGTGAAGGCTTTGAATCAAAGTTCATGAAGTTAATAACAGAAACATGATCGTCAAATAGCTAATAAAGCATTTATGAACACAAATTAATACTCTACTATTAAAAGTCTCCCCAAATTCGACGCAATAACAATTTGCGGACACGCGCACGCTGCAATACCTAACGGGCACTTTAAGGCTAAATGTCCCGACACTAGTACAATTTGTAGCCACCACGTGGCAGCACCAAAATAAGTAAAATTTACTTTACTGATAACGTCTGAACCAATGGTCCGATTTTCGATCTGTAAACGGCATTTGACGCTTTTTTAAAATAGAACTACGCTACGAAACCCTTTTCCCAAAAATCTAGCAAAAATTTGAGTATCTTCAGTTGAATAGCGTTCCGCTGACAATTTTCCGCGCGAACTTGCTGCCACCTTGATTTCTCGAAACACACGCAATCATATGAGTCTGGGCCCCACGTTGTTACGCACAACCTGTCAATAGCAGAGTATTGAGAAAGAAAACCTCACAATTGTGAATACACGCTTCAAAAGAGATACGAAGCTACATTGTTTAAATAACGCTCTTAATCGATTAAAGTAGTGTTACAATGGCCCCATTCAACCATGTGTTCATAATTAAACACTTAATGAGTGATCTAATATAAGTTAAGCTGATCGTAGTTGTAAAGTTTAAGAGCAGTATTTTTATGTAACAATTTCTCTTGTTTCTTCCTGACTTGCGAGCGACCTTGCCCCGAGTTGTTGCAGCTGGGAGGCACTCATGCGTATCATTGCCTAGCGTCTAGTCCAGTAAACTAATTTTATGGGGTGTTATCGACTCACTCTAAAAAAAGTACGTAAAAAGTAACCAATTTGTTTCCAAAATTTCTGGCAGAAATTCCTCATTTAGTTCTTTTTAGATATTTAGGATAATGGGGAGTGAAATCAGGGTCCTGCTGTCAATGAAGTATTGAAAAGGTACTAGCACGCATTAATCAATAGTACACCTCTATTTTGGTCCCGACCGGGTATCGAACCTGGGATCGCACCACGGGAAGCTAGTATTCCGCCCAAGAGCCACCTCAGGGCTTTTGTAAAATATCATTACATATTATACAATGTTCTCTCCCTGACAAATTCAAATCATCTAATCCTAATGTTCGTGTACTTTTCTGCCTTTGGAAAATAATGCGAATATTTGGCAGCACAACTTTGGAGGAAGACCTGACCGTCGCTCTCCGCGTGTGCTCAGGTTCGTGGGGCCAGGCGAGCAGGACGACGACGTCAACAGCTACATCGACGCGTCCTTCGTGTACGGCAACAGCGATGCGACGCTGGCGGCTCTGCGGGCGAACCAGAGCGGGCTGCTCGCGACCAGCGGCAACAACTGGCTGCCGCCCTCCGCCAACGCCACCGTCGACTGCGACCCGCGCAACCGCAGCGACGTCTGCTTCACGGCCGGCGACCCGCGCGTCAACCAGAACACGCAGCTCACGGCGCTGCAGGTGCGTGCAGCTGTGTTCCCATGAACGGGATCGCGACTTGGACCACGTGTCGTAATCCCACATGTGCAAATCCCTGCAGGGAATTCGGAAGCATTCGTCCGGAAGCCCCGACGTCCGGCGACACCCGCGTCGTTAGTACCACGTTAGCGAAATGACGAAACGGCACACGGAGACGCAGCGTGCTCCGTGTAACCCGGGTGGCCCCCATTTGAGCTCCAACTTCGTCGAAGAAGGGTTGGGACTGTGGCTTTAAAATGTCCAGAGAACAATTGAAATTTCTAGCACTCTTACCATAACTTCCGGCGATACTCATGTCGTTAGTGCTAAGATGAGTAAAGTGAGGAGACGAGTTGGGGCCTTCGAGCCGCTAGAATGTAACAGTCCGAGAATTCCCCACTTGAGCTTTGGATTGGTCGTGGGTCGATACTCACGGAATATTGAGAAGGAATTCATCCCGGTGTATTGTCTGGAGCACTCTAGTAGACTTCGGTACAAACTGTGAAACTTGTTAGCTCCGAGCTGGCAAGCACCCTTCCCACGTTAGTAGTAAATGTGCGCATCGCTTTCCGTTGTATCCCGGTATGAAAACCGACGGTGTAATTTTACACCCACGGGGGGGGGGGTGAAAAAGAGCCATTGCTCAGCCGCTGATGGTGTGAACTTCCCTCCATGTAAAGCACAAGCTGTGAGAGGTAATATACCAACCAGAGAATATCACACGTATTTCACCAACTTCACTGGGATCCTAACGCCGAGAGGCGACCGGTGATGTAGTAGTAAATGTGGAAGCTTTCTATCTCTTGAGATCCAAGGCATAAATCCCTTCATCTAAAAGTTATGGTGGACCATGTACGTTTGCGACCAGACCAAGCTCTCCCAGACCTTCCTCCTATGTCTCCTGTTTCTCATATCACCCTCAGTTCGTTTCCATTAATTCTACCAACATGTTCATCTGTTCACAAGAGATAGGACCAATGCAAATCCTGTTGAATTAGAAAAAACGAAAATTTGAAATATTTCAAATAAAAATTATATTTTATAAAATACTGCTTACAATATTCACTCATGTTTAGTAATCGGGTAACCTACTTGTGTCCGTCCATCACACACCGTTAGATCCCTTCTATTCCACCAATTCAGATAAGCGAAGTATCATTTGCAGCATCTCGGACTGCTGATGAAGAACTGGCTATTGTAACTTTTCTAATTACAAACCAAAGATTTATAAATACGAAAACACTTTTAAAACTCTTTAGAGTTGGAGATTAACACTAAACTAATACATCATTCTTAATTATTCATTTGTTAAACATGAGATTTCTAGTAAAATAATGATGGTATAAGGCAGTTTTGTTAATAATCGAGAGGTAAAATTAGTTTTAGAATATCGATTCAGGGCACGAGTGATTAGAGATTCGAAAGTTCCATCCCTCTCGTTTACCATTCTGGGTAGGAAAGTCTCAAAATAAATAGTGTACTTTGAGAAAAATAAATACACCTTAACCCCTTCTGATTGCGCACAGATTTGAGTTAAGTGCTTTGTTGCAAAATTGGATTTTTACTTTTCCCGGGATCCCAGTAGTATAGAGGAAAAGAACTGGATTCAAACCAAAATCCAAGGTCGAGGTTCGGTAGCAAATTTGTTTTGAGAGTCCCTCAGATGAAGAAAGTGGTTTGTGCGGTTATGGGAGGGCATGTAGGTGACACTCGTAACTCATGCTTTTGAGCTCTAGTGTTTAAGTCTGATATGGGAACAAGTAGAAGAGAAACAAATGATGTGTTATAAGTGAAAAGGTATAAAAATCGTAAAATTCATCTATTTTACATAATCACTATTTATGAATAGTAAGGCTATGCCACTGTTCATGTCCACCCTATTATATTATTCATATTTGTTAAACCTCAAACAGTTCGTACTACATTATTACATATCCTCCAAATTATTACAATATGTAAATTCTGCATTTTACAAGACTAATATATGTTTAGATATACCACACATCGTCTCAATTAGTTCGTACTTTATTTCGACTCTTCTCTTGTAACATACGCGACACTGCACCGCTGTCAATCATAAATGGAATCACCTTCAAATTTTCACAAAACTTACTTTTGAATGCCATTTTCAATTTATTTTCTATTTCTATTCCGCTCCTATATTAATTTTCATTTTCACTGATATGTAAATCTGTTGAAAAATAAAATATCACCTAATGAGGACATTCGGACTTCAGTCCAAATCTTTTGCATAATCACTTAGTTGATTTTTAAAATATTAGATTGAAATAACAATTGTCTAAGATGTGTTAATTAATATTACAATACTTTGCATAAACGTGTCTTGCATATGGACTCACAAAAGCGAAAATAACATCCCAAGTTTTGCCTTAGGTGACCAAAGGAAGGAGGTGAAAACCCGTTCGTATATTCACAAATAAATATTTGTCCAATGTTGAAATATCAATGACGTAGCTAAAGTTCTATTATTTAAATTACTTTCCCAATTGTTACCTATATAAAAATGTAGTATTTAGAATTATTTAGAGTTGAATATAATTTGATATTTCATTCTTAAATAAAATTCTACAGTAAAAACACATACTTTACACATCTCTTAGCATTCAACGGTAATCGCGTAATCGTTGGATGTTAATAAGCAATGCCAGAGGGGTGTGGCGAGCAAAACACTGCGTGTGGTCTAATGGGTGTGACGTGCGCTGATAAACACGTAATTTTTGGATGTTAAGAACAACGTCAGAGCGGTATTAAAGGGCGTGTTCCGATGCCGACGGCGTGTGTGTTCCCACCAGATTGTGTTTCTGCGGGAGCACAACCGCGTGGCGGGCGAGCTGGCGCGGGTCAACCCGCAGTGGGACGACGAGCGCCTCTTCCAGGAGACGCGGCGCGTCATCATCGCCGTCTTCCAGCACATCACCTACTCGCGCCTCGTGCCCATCTACGTGGGTAAGTCCGTCGACGCAGGCGCTGCTCCTCCAGGGCAAAACGTTGGCTAGCAGAAGAGCGCTTAGCTTGGGGCGCCTGCATTCTCGCGGTCCCTCTGGCCGGGAGGTCCTAGGATTCGTGACCCGACGGTGGGGGGGGGCGATTTTCGACACTAAATAGACAGCTAGGTCGGGTTCAACCGCTGTGTAGTCTAGAATTTTAGCTGTAGGCTACGCTGAGCGGTAGTTTTCCGTTGTTGCTTCGATCAACATCAGCCACATGCCAGCGCAGTACCCGAATAAACAGACCACCCACTGTGCACGATCTTTCCTGATCCATCATCTCCTCTTACACAAACACACTTACACACACTACAGTACTGCGCACGTTGAAAGTGCAGTTGGCCACAAAGGGCTTGTCCCTGCTGGGGTGGTGCCTCGCTGGAGAGAGGTTCCTGGTTGAGGAATACCCCGCAAGCCGGCGTGTAGGTCAGCGCCGGATTTCACCATCCAGCGGGAAAGGAATCGCCTCCCCGGAAAAAACCCTTCTAAAGGGAATAATGACCGCAGTAGTTAACGTGCCGAAGCCTTCAATCAAGCAGAATAGTAATCCGTGGCAGAGCTGTTTGTATTCTGTGAAAAAAAACAACCTCCCGTGACAGACCGGCTACCTGCAGCGCAACAGCGAGCGCTGTCTAGGGATGAAAAAAAAATATTGATATATTTGAGAAAAAAAGTCGATTTTTGTTTTCGGTGTTTTCTTCAAATTGATATTTGTCCAGAACATAGAATTTTTAAATAAATGTCATTATATAAATAGTATTCTTCCAGTATCTGTTTCATTTTTGAATTTCGTGCAAACAACAGCCATTGTTGTCGATCCCCAGACGTCACGAAACAGTTCGTTGTTCGCAACCTTTCTCCTGTTGCCGTTTTTTATTATTTTGTGTGAGGAAGTATCGTTAAACTGTAAGTTGAACCTTGACCACACAGAGCATTGATTAGAAAATTAAGATATCCATCAACTTTAAGGTACAATATGCTATGCATCACATTAGAACCAGGACATTTTACTTCCAAGTTCCATCATACTTAAAACATCGATATTTTAAACATTGATTTGTTCTATCGATGATTTCATAGACATCGAAAAAACCATCACCTTTCGGTGATGTGTCGAAATTTTACTAAAAGTTCCCATCTCAAGCGCTGTCTGCAATGGCTGCCTCTGCTACAGTTCTGACAATTCCAGCATTTGCATTTGCTCACATCACTGCGCATGGTGTCGTCAATGACATCCCAAATCACTCCTTCCGTTACCCATTACGTGGAGAAACTTTCCCTCTTTTAAATGGGCGCGTCATCTACAACATAGTAAGTTGGTTTCGCGGAAGTGTGTATTAAATAGAACGGAGGGTAAATTACTTTTCCTTCTTGGTGAAGTTTTGCGGCTATCCATTTTCGCTCCTCCAGGACACACAAAAGTGTTTTTAGTTGTTTAACAACTGTGTGTACTCGTTTTTCGTTATTTTAATTTTATGCAATTTTTAGACGATTTTATCATAATTACTTTGGCTAGATGCCTCGTGTAATTCTTTCAAACGCTTACATAAAGATTTACAATCCCAAAAGAAAATTAGAATTGTAATGTAAAAGTCTTTTTATAATTCTCTAAGTCTTTCTAATGAAATAATCTGTCTAATTATCTTTTAAATATTAAGTATTTCTTTACTGACCTGGCATTGACAAGACTAAACTTTTCTTACGTTGACGAAACGGGCCTTGTTCTTTAAACAAATTCATTTCTATGCTTCTTTCTCTAGATCAGGTGCGAGAATCTACTTTTTAACTCTCCCTTTAAACACAACAACCATATCTGCACCTCCTCCTGGTCTTCACAATCAGAGCACTGGCACACGAACGTTATATTGTCCTTATATCGCCTTCGCCCTTCTAAGCTACCAAGTACGCTACAAGCGACAGAGGAACGAACTGCTAATACATGTTTCCACGGTGAATGCGAACGGCTAATGTGAAGTTGGGAAGTGTGGAATAGCGATTTCAAAATACTTCAGATCTTCTGGAATCCGTTGAGGGTTCAAAGGATAGGCGCCGAGCTCCCACGCTTCTCAGAGTTTTACATCAGCTGGCGTGGCGTGGCAGGGACGTTTTCGGATTTGCCACGAGGAGCGGCCAGCTATTCTTTACAAACGCAAAGTTTAATCTGCAATAGTTTGTAACAATAAAAGTTCTGGACAGCAGTCTTTATCATTTTTCATCAAAATATTCTCCAATAGGCCTTTTCACCTCTTGCCCTTCCGGCCCAGTGGTCCAATCAGTCTTCTTTGTCCAGTGCCAAGAGGTTTGCTACTTTCACCTTACAAACTTTTTGATAATCGACCAAGTCTCTTTGAGAATCAGTAAGCAAAGAATTTTATTTTCAATAAAAATGTGCTTGAGACTCACTTCCATTTTACACCGTTTAACTTCATTTTCTCTCATTGTCATTCCACAACCGGGAATGCATTTCCATATCAGACGGTTTCTCTTCATCACGTTTTGGAATTTCATGTAATAATATTATCTGGCAATATTTTCATCACCACATTATCAACATTTTATATCATTGTTCTTTCTTATCAAAAACAGGTATTTGTAGAAATAGCAATCTTATAATATATACTTCAAAGATATGTCAGTTTCAGCACACGACTTATAATCAATATTCAGTTGCACAGAAACGGGGGATCGAAAGTTCAGGAACGCCCATCGCTTCTCGGAAGCCGCTCGTTGCCACCAGTCGTTCCAGAGGAGACTCCGCACAAGGAAGAACCGTTTCTTGCGCACAAGTTGCTTTCGTCCGCCTTCTCTCTTCCCACAATAATGTATCGTTTGATATTTATGTGCACTTCGAACGGGGAAAGTTACTTACACTCTCCGCCAAAAAAGCATGTACTTTTGTCTTCGACTTCAAGCCACGAGAGCAAGTGACCGCAAAACGATCGTTAAACTTTATTTTATGCGACTAATACATTTTCAACACTATTTATCAAGGCCGTAAGGTCTGCAAATGAAATACTTTAAGTTAAGAAATGGGATGTCTAAAACAAGGAACAAGAACCAAGCACACATGGAAATATGTTTAATGTCTTGCGCAATAAGTGTACCAATATTTCAAAATTTTCATGGTCCTCCAGTTGTTATATATCACCAACATTTTGAAAATATTTTAATTTTCAAAATATTTTATTTATTATAATTTGACGAGGAGGCTATTTTTCAGTTTTTTTTACTATCTTTTGCACATGCGTAATAATAAATCTTTGCAAAGTAATTGAATTTCTTTTAACTTACACCATTATTCTCTTTCTCAAAAGGTGCCGTCACAGCAAACAGGTTCAACCTAGTTCCCAATGAGTTTTGTCGATACGACCAGAACGGCTACCAACCAACGGTAGATGCCACAACCTTCAATGAATTCGCGACAGCCTCGAATCGAGTATTCCACGGCATCGCTCAAAGCATTCTCAAGTGAGTATACACATTTCTGACACCGTATTTACAGCAGTTTGAATTAAAAGACCAAATCAAAGTTACTTATAATAAATTAAAATAATAAATTAAAGAAAAAAGCGAAGTTAAGCACTCCAAAAATGGTTTTAGAGCTAGTTTTTTAATTAGTATGCGATTTCAATTTTTCATCACAGTTTAAACAGCTTTTGTGTAATAGCATACTGGGGCGAGACCGCATCGAGCAAATGTTAGTACGTGTCAGTAAATATTTTTTCAAAACATAATATATTTCAACAAGTGTCTGTTGAATTGCTAATGAAAAACAAACCTTTTAATTGCTAATTGCTAATAAAAACCAAAACATAACTTTTTTACATTTCAAAAACCGAAAACAGTAAAATAAATAATATATAATTCCATTTTCATTATTCTAACACTTGCCGACCGCCAATTGCTATTTTAAAGCTACTTCCAATTTAAATATAGAAGAGACGCTGGTTTATGAGTTTCTTAAGTTTACTATATTGGCATGTTCAGGACATGTCATTAACTGATTAAATTGTAATGCTCATGAATCATATGCCAGAAGTAACATTTAATCCGTAAGTTATTTTCAAAGCTCTATAGATAATTTTCGAACAAGTTTGTGATGAAATGGCAAGAATAAGCAAAGTTCTAATTAATATAGTTACGTCTAATTCCAATTGAGGTTTTCAATACCAATAAAGACGAAGTTGCCGACCTGGACAGCCGAGGTCGCCAAGGCTGAAGAGCCCTAGCTGCCTCGTACTTCAAGGGTCGGGGGTTCGAATCCCACCCGAGGTGTGGATGTTTGTGTGTGTTCGTACACCGTTGCCATTACCACAATGTTAATCCAGTGGTCGCCACATAACCTTACTAGTTGAAAAGCGACCTTAAATAAGTAAACAAAAAAGACGAAGTTAAAATCCAGCTGCTCGGCATCGCTCAGAAATCTCGACGGAGGCGAGACCGCCCCAGGTGCTCCCCTTCCCTTCCCACAGTCCTGAACGGAATTGGAAACTCCGCGGAAAACGCGCCCCATCTGCATCCCGTCACGCGGCGCGCGCCGCCTAACAACGAGAGGTCCAGGGCCGCGCAGGCGGCGGCGCGTGGCCGCGGGCGGGCGGAGGGAGGGAGCTTTTTGCCCAACTGCGT